GCATTCGCTGCCGTAAAGAAGGACGGGTGTCATGTAACATCTCCCTATCCTTTTCTTTGTTACCAAAGAAATTCCCCCCGTCTCACAATACTCTGCCCAATTTTTGGAGTGCATCCTTGGCCATTTCCAATATGTCTATGGATCTTGGTATTGTACTTACCGTTCTCTGTCAAAACACTTCCCAGATATTTAAACTTCCGTATCTGCTTGATTCTAATTTTCTCAATCTGCCAATCACATTTTGGGCTCATCCTCTTACTGATGACCATGCATTCTGTCTTTCAACTCACCAAATTGAATTCATAACCCTTTGGGTCAAATCACTGGATTAATTCAACCAATGCTTTTATCCACTAGGCCATATGTCTTTGGGGACATCAGTGTATTAATTTTGAGGACTTATAAACCTAATGTATCAGTAACCATTTTTTTTTTTACCAGAGCTCATATTACAATTTTGTTATTGTTTTCTCTATCACTCTGTATTACTGGTTCCCATATTGTATTCATGTCTATGCTTGACCAGCTTAGAAGATTTTTGTGGCCTGATTCATTAAATTTTCATATTTTCCAGTGATGTTCTGTCTGTCACCCTCATCTCACAGAGATCAGGGATCTTCCTTTTTCTTCCATATATGGTCAGCAAGTGTAACTGCATCACAGATGACTTTTGAAAAGACACATAGATCAAAAAATAGTTGAAATATTCTTCTCTTGCAGAAAGATTTTTTTTCTTTTTTACTCCAGTGGAGTCTTCTGGGGTTATTGGCCCTCATTTGATCACGTTCCTTTGGAGGGTTGGTTGGATTGTGTGTTGATTAAGGGATCAGCCTAATGAAACCGAATGACTCTAGCAGTGTGTCTCACTGGTGATGGTGTGAGATAATGCTTTCACCATCATTGTGTCTGGCAGAAGATAGTGAAAAAAATAAAATAAAAAACATTTTGTTTTAGATTTTTTTGTTCATTATTTACATTATTCGGACTATTGTCCTCATCTTTGTCGCCTCTGATCAGGTTTTGAGGAACATGGAATCACTTCTTAATTGCTGGTGTTCCCAGGTCCACCCTGACCCAGAGTGGTAGCACCTGTTAGGATCACAGCTATGGGCAAATAGTTAATACACAAACTGGAGTCAAAACACTATGAAAGAGTAAAAATAGGTTTTAATACCAGAAATACTTTGTAAAAAAATTATTACCAGCAATACATTATTACCAGCTTTACATTTTCAAAAAAAAAAACAAAAAAAAAAAATATATATATATTACCAGCAATAAAAATCTTGTCGGCATTAAATAACTCTTTGAGGTTGATATGCCGTAAAACAAACCAAACTAATCAGATCACTATAAAATCTGTTCAAGTCTAGGGTTAACCATTACCTTCCCTACATATTCCCATAAACTGTACCTCTTAATCTCTAATCCTCTACTTCGAGTGGCTCTTGGGCCTTGTACAGTATTATGTCATTTAAAAAAAAAGAAGAAAATTACCCCAAGCAAGGTGATAATGCCACTAAGACACAAGGAGTTACTGGAAGTAAAAGAATGAGAAGACTTTAGTGAAGAGAAAGGACAGTAAAATTCAGGAAGACTGATGGCAATTGATGTTGCATTTAAATTTTTGAAGAATGTAGGGGGCAGTGAAGTAAGTAACAGGAAATCTTATTTTAAAATGTAAACAGCATATCAATAAAGCAATAAGTTGTTTTTTAATTAGTGAATAACCGAAACAATTATTTTTTACTTAGGGAATAACCGAAACAATTATTTTTTAATTAGTGAATAACCTAAACAATTATCTGTGGTCTTAAATTCCCCAAGCTAAAACAAAAACAAGAAATTAAAATCCATTACTTTCCTATTACATTAAAGCTAACAGCCTCAATAGGTATTACTTGTGTAATTATTAAGCTGAAGTTTTCCTTTCAGATAACCCGAGGGAAGAGTTATTTCCCCTTAAATACTTTACTGCATTTTCTTTTTGTGTCGTATCTCTTCAGGACCTAAGTGATCATGGCTCTCCACAGCTTCCTGTCTTTTGTTGCTCAAACTTTTCACCCATTACCAGCTCTTTGTTCCTGTTCTGCTATCCATCCACACTAACTCATCAAGTACATTACTCATTGTTTCTCCCTCCTGCTCTTGCATTCATTATGCCTTGTGGGTGTTAAATTCTCTAGGTATTCTTTCCTCAATGTGTGCCTCAGAGATTACAACTGTCTCTTTCTGGTTGTAAGTATCAGTTTCCTTGATCACAACATTTCAGTTGTCGTGCTTTCCATCAGGTGTATATTGGTCTCGTTAACCTACAGAAAATTCCGAACTGAACCCTTTATTTAATCTACAGGGGGCAGACTGTTCTTGATCCACTGCCTATATCTAAGGATATCTAGTCTAGTTCTTATTTTTTTAGTACTGCTTAGTTATTGCTTATTTCCACTGAGTTCAAGTAAACACTGCTTGGCCCAGGGATTGAATTCAATTACTAGATCACCAAATTCACAAACCATTGCTTTAATTCATTAGGCAGTTTTTTTATTTAAACTATGAAAACTTTCCAATGAATTGTAGTGCTTGTTAATTTCAGTTGATTTTTGAATTATTGGCATAAAATTTTTTCTGTTTAAGGTGTGTTTTTATTTTTTTATATGGATAAGTTAAATTGTTAACTTGCTCGTTTTCCAAAAAATGCTTAAGATATATGTTGCTTTTTTGAAATCCTCAAAAAAAAAAAAATAATATTTCTATTTGAAAACTATCTTTATTACATATATTATTTAACAAAGCTGTACATTGTCTTGAATCTTCTATAAATGTTGGTGATTTAAAAATGTCTCCCAAAATAGCACATTATTCTTTTTTTTATTCTGTTAACCATTCCTGTAAATCAGTGCTTTTCAAACTATCTGATATGGCAAACTGGCATTTTTTTCTCAATGTGTCACATACCTGTAATATTTTGTGGTAATATTAAATTAATTTATACCGGAAATGACATAATGAATATAATAAAAGTTGATTATTTTTTTATCTTCCATTTATTTTGCAAGAAATAATTCAATATCAAGACGTATAAAAAGCAATAAAAAAACCAAGCAGTTTATTAACACGAAAACAAAAATTATATAACCTTAATTTTTACAAATGATTACTTAGCATGGCCTGGACACTAGCTGCGTACCGGAAGCTGATGGCCCACAGACTACCACTTTCGGTAGCACTGCTGTAAATGGATTTGCAGATAGTGTAAAAGTTATCAACTGCTGTGCCAGGTTCAAATTCAAACTGACTCTTTTACTTGGCACTGATGATCTTGAGAAAGGCGTGAATCCATCTCCCTTCTTTGAAAGCATATTTTGCTAGCCGTGATTTTGATGTACTTTGCCTGAGTGAAAAAATAATGTTCTTTTTTTTTTCCTGCCAATAAACAATATATTGAATTTCTAAACTTTTAGCTAAAACTATATTTACTCTGTGGTTTTAATTTTTACACTAGGTGAATCCCCCCCACCCCCCGATTCTTCTCTCCCCAAGAAGGAGTTTTCCTTCCTCCCCACCATAAATCCATATTTGTCATTATGTTGATTGACAAAATGAAATTACGACTACAGATTTGTATGTTTATACTGTATTTATAACGTCTTGAAGATGTTGTCATAAAGCACTGATTGAAACACAATCTTATTAATCCAGGCAAATAATTATCAATTGATTTTTTTTTTTTCTTTTTAATTGCAGACCTATCATGAGGAACTTCTGCAGCGTTCACCCCGTCACAAGTTACTAAATGACTATGCCCGGCAACTCCTTCGTAGATACCCTGCCCTGAAATCAGAAGTCACAATCAGATTACAACACTTGAATACACAATGGCAGAAGATAGAAGAAGCAATCTCTCCTTCAAAAGGGATCCAGGACTGGAAGACGATGCTACAAGGTGAGTAAATGTTAGAGTGTAAATTTTTATATATATATATATATATATATATATATATTCAACAGGTGTCTTCATAGCTGATCTCTTCTAATCATTTCTACAGGGTGACTGGAAAGAAACTCCCTATTTAAAATTGTTAATAACTTTATTAATTATTGGTCAGTTTTCATAAAACCTATTTTATTTTGAAAAAATATAATGGTAGAAATACAGTACAGTGTTAAATTTCTACTTTTTACATATTTTATTTCTGATCTGGGTGTTGAAGGATGACCGATTTTTGTGTGTGTGTATTTACCACAGAACCTATACTCATCTCTTTGGAATGACAATTTCTGATGGTTTTGTCATTGGCTGGAGCATGAGGCCCATGAACACTGCACCACTATCTCTTCACTTGTACCTTGGACTGCCACTCTTTGTAACTGGCTCTACTACCTGATCATGCTCATTCAGTATCAGGCCTTGTGTCATCCTTGCTTACACTTGTCACTCTGAAATAAAAACAGAAATTAGCAATGAAATTCCTTCACAACATAGTGTCTGGTGTTATGCCATTCTGGCCTACATTTGTCATCACTCTGTAATAAAACCACACATCCTACCACTTTAGGGATCAAAATATTTTGTTTCATGCAAATGTGGTGACATTAATAAAATTTATAAATAGTTGTCAATAAGGAGTTTCTTTCTATTCACCCTATAGATATTAAATTTTGTGGCTACATTCCATTGGTATAATCTTCTTTGTTTATATTATATTTGTTAATCATTTTTTTCAAACGTTTGTCATTAAACAAATTTTTATTTTTATTTTATTTCTTCATTTCTACAGTAGGATCATTGCAATACATTTATATCTCTATTCTGTCAGCAGTAACATTTGAATTCATTCCTGACCACTGATTATCCACTTCTTTTTCATGTTCATTATTTCTATAATAAAGTTATTAGCAGTGCATTTACATTATACATAAAATGACCTTATTGCTTCAGTAATGTGCACCTTGATACACTTGACCACTAACAATCATTTTTGTCATGAATTCACCTATTGTCAAATCATGCTGAACACACTGGTTCTCATTTGATCACTGAAGTTAAGCAATGTTGAACTTGGTCAGTACTTAGGGGACCACTTAGGAACATGGGGTACTGTAACCAACCTCCTAAATCCTGGCTTTAAATAACCCACAAAGGGTTGATAAACTATAAAAAATTAACTTCATAAATTTATTTTTCCCTTACCACCAGAATTTGCGGTGTCACTGTAATCATTAGTGAATAAAAGTTTTCATGGATTCGTTTGAGAAGATTTACCTGTGAAAAAAGAAATTTCTGTAAATCAGCAATAGCCAAACTTTTTTTTCTTTTAATGTATAAACTAAGGATCTAGAGTTGTCTGACTTTGTTAGATGAAGCCTTTTCATTATTAATCATTGACTAGTATTTCTTTTGTCTTGTTGCTTTTTATCACAATGCTCTGGTAGATCAAATGTAAAATGGCTCGAGTGTTTTGATAAAAACTAAGAAAGACCTAATCAAAAATGAATGATTGTCTAGATTAAGAGGTCCAGGTTCAAATCTCACCAGAAGCTTATTTTTTATTTTCAATCTATGTTGCTTGCTTATGCTTATGGAATTATAATGTGGATGTCGCAATAAAAAGCAAATGCTATTAAGATATAAAAAATACTACCAAAAAATAATTAAAAATCAATGGTTTTTCAAATTGTAAATAAATCATTTGATAAAGCATTGAGTGCTTTTAAAAGTTTGTTTGGTTTTAAAATATAACAAGTCCTTTATTTATGAATGTGTGTTCATCTTGTCTGGTTTTTGGCTGAAAAAATGCTGGTGTTATATAGCTCTCTTAGTCCCTGAATCGTGCTGACTATTGGCTAATAGTCATGGCCCAGTATTGTTCATATGCAAATTTTGTCAGCGCCACATACTGTAAATGTCCTGACAGAATGCTTGTCAACCCACATAAAGTGGCCTTTTGTTGGCTGGATACCAAGAGATTGATAAAAGCCTAAAAATGCAAGTAGTATTGGTAAGGTGTAGAAATTGCTATAAAAGAGTTTGTCTGTATAACAACCAAGATGAGCTGTTAGGACAAATTGCTATTACAACAACAAAAAAACAACATAATAATTCTTCTTCTCCACCAAATAAAGGATTTATTTTATTTATGAACAATTTTCAGTATCTGTCTATATTTCTGAGATGAGGTATTATGTACACTATTTACATTATTCAGACTATTGTCCTCATCTTTATCGCCATATTTATTACAACGTCTTGAAGGCATTGGTTCGATCCAGTGACAGGACCCAAAGAGTGTGAGTTCAATACCCGGTTAAAGCAGTGCAGAACTTGGTGAGGGGAATTAACAGGAGATAACTGACATCAATTAAAAACATGGCATGTGGAACTAGAACAGTCTACCTCAGTGAACAAAATAAAGGGTTCAGTTCGACATTCCAACCACCTGAAGAAGGCTGGAGCATACAATGGCCGAAACGTTGTAATAAATATGGCAACAATGTTGTTTTCTTGTCAATATTTATGTAAACTGATGTAGTCATGACACCCAGTGCAACTCAAACTGACTTCAATATCAATAATCTGTTAAATTAATTTGCTTACTCCAGCTTCATGATGATTCACCCATATATATATATATATATATATATATATATATATATATATACACACACACACACAAGTATAACTTTGTTTGACACAAGGCAGATATATTGAGCACCCAGTGAGGATCACACACACACTGACTTTTTGAGGTCAGTTTGCTCACCAAAATTGTTTTTTCAGCAGTTATTATCTATCATTACTTATGGGTCATAAACTAGAATTGTGATATTGAAGCAATAATTATTTTATCATCCGTTTGATTTTTTTTTACCTGCATTTAAGATAGCAAATCTAATCAGATCTCTTGACACTGATAACTCATGCATTGTCAGATTAACGCTTGTCATGTGTCAGCAATTAAGTAGATGTGCTAATGACCTGCCACAAAAATCTTTTGGTGGAAATGTTAGAGAAGCTGGCTTCCAGTTTCATATCATTAAACCTTTGCCAATACCTGACACATGACTGAACTTGTTCCATAGACCAAGTTCACACACGTGGCTGCAATAAATCTACACATGTTCCCACAGAATATCTGGCTCTCAGCCAAGAAATCGTATGCTGTCTGTTTTTCATTGATGTTGACACCTAAACTTTCTAAATCTCTAAATCTTATTTCAGATTTTGCTTGAATGCACTTTTACCAACAGATTTTTAGGAGAAGGGTTTTTTCTAAAATTCTGTTTTTTTTTTTTGTTTTTTTTTCCTTCTCAAATATTTTCTAAAATTCTGTTTTTTTTCTATCTTGTTAATGCTAACTTCAGTTTTGTAGCCAAAATGTAAACAACAGTAAGGTTATTTTTAGTGGGGACACATGTTTGAGTTGCTATGCTATTTCTTGTTTTTTTTTTTTTTAACAGTGCAATGTCAGATAAATCCTCATTTTGTTTCTATAAATATCAGAACGGATGGCAATATTAAGACCTTCCTTCAGCAAGAAATAGGCAATGAAACATTTTTAGTGCATTTATAGATATGCATGTTATTGAAATATATAGTTACAGTGTAGCAGAAAATAAATGCAACTTGAACAACAAAAATTTATTTTTTCTAATAGTAATACAGCTGTAATTTACAAGAAAAAAAATGATAGCCTACCAGATACCACTGCTTTGCAAAAAAGACCTAGGGATATTCTTGATATATTTTTGGAGGGAGGGTTTTCTTACAAGCTAGTGACTTGCCAATGGAAAGAAACAATTTGGGTACTTGCTATATAGATAGATATAAAAAGACAAAATAAAAGCATATCTTAGCCAATGCATTTCGTCCTCTTATGGACTTTATCAAAGCAAATGTCTTAATAAAGACCATCAGATGGTGAAACACATCATCTCAGATAAGGTGTCCCTTTGTCTTTGTCCTTTTACAGATATATTTTTTAGTTATATATGAATTTTTACATACATACATATATTCTATAGACTTTAAATAATAATTAATATATATATAAAAGCACACTTTGAATAATGAATTATACACACACACACACTTTGAATAATGAATTATATATATATATATATATATATATATATATATATACACACACAAACACTTTGAGTAATGAATTATATATACATACATACACACACTTGCACTTTACATAACGTTATATATATATATATATATATATATATATATATATATATATATATATATATACACATATACATACACACACACTCACACACACTTTACATTATGATTTTACACACACACATATATATATATATATATATATATGTTAATGAATTACATATACACTTTAAATAATGAATTTATATATATATATATATATATGTGTGTGTGTGTTTCCCTTGCAACAGAAGAGTGTTGTCAAGCTGTATCTATAGTCACTTAATGACATCATCTTTTAACTCAAGTGTCTCTTATAATAATTGCTTATCATTTTCATTTGTATTGTGCTTTCTTTAAGGTTGTGATTCCAAAATGCTTATTGTTGACTTCTGACTGTAAGGCTAGGTCAGGAGATAATTTTCATATAGATGACAAAAGTATAGACAGTTTTACACTTGTTATATTCTTATTAGGATTTTCTTGTTCAACTGTCTCTATTAGACTAGTGACAATACAAAATGAATATTTATTTTCTTGTAATATATGAACATGTGTGTTTAGGAGATTCCGATTATTTTTTTATGTCATTTGAATTAGTGTTTCACCACAATTCCCAAGTCCTTGATGCTGAAAGGTTTTCAACCCCACTTGTATTCCAATGTTGTATCAGGAAAATAATCAGCATTTAATTGAAATCTTTCTTTTTTTTTTTTTTTTAAATAATTTTCACTCTGTACAAGGCCTGAGAACCACTCAAGGTAGAGGGTTACAGAGTAAAAGGTACAGTTTATGCAGATATGTGGGGAAGATAATAGTTAACCCTAGATATGCATAAATTTTATAGTGATCTGAGGTTGTAGTAATCGGGGAGGAGGGGAAGCATGCTCTTAGGAATTTGTTCCACAAAACAGCAATTTGTGGGAAGAAGAACATTTCACCAATACTCATTTAAAAACTTTCCTTGGCAGGAAATTAATGACTTTGATCTTAAAATGTGTTACCAGCAAATCTGTCTCCTATCTGTATACTGCAATCTATTCAACTGTGTAACTTAACCCCAGAAACTTTTCTCATGAAAAGTGAGAGAGCATAGGATGGAGTAACATGACCATTTTCAAAACATGTAATCAGGACACATGATTAACACACACGTGATTACATGGTTTAAACTATGCAACTGTGTTGCAAGTCAATCTGTATCCCACTTGGATATTGTAATATATTTAACAGTCAGTGCCAGATTTAGCAGGTTGAATCCTAAGGCCTCAAAATTTAGGGGTCCTCCAGCCAAGGTGTATAATATTTTTGACAGTCATAGGCCTTTCTTACACATGCTGTCATAATGCATTGTAGACTCTAAATAACCCTTCAGTAATTTTAAACACCCGTCGTCATCCTCGGTTTTATTTAAATTGTTTAATTTAACACTCTTCCATTTTCCTCTACTCGTGAGAATGAGGGATTTGGAGGGAGTCTCATAAGTGGAACAGCCTAGGGCCCTCTCTTAATCTAAATCCAGCCCTGTCAACAGTCTCAATTAAACCTCACAAGTTCCTTACATATCAATGTAGGTCAGCTGCTAAGAAAGTTGGTTTCCTTGTGCTGTGTAAGACAATTTTTCTCTCTGGAATCTATCTATAAGTCTATCATTTGTCCATGCTTAGAAATGGCTGCCATCTAGAGCTCCTTGATAAAATCCAAAGAATAATCAGCAATATTATTGGTTCTGATCTGGCATCTCAATTTAAATCACTTCCCACCACCATAAGGTTGCCTCTCTGTGCCTTTTTTTATAAGTATCTGCTGGTATATTTATCACTGTGGATTCTGGTATGGAATGCCTAAATGATCAGTGCTTATCTCTTCACACCTATGTTTGTATATATACAGGGCATAGTCTAGAAAGAGATTAAATAGATTGAGGCTCT